AAGATGGAGGAGACGATGACGGAGGGGATGGTGGCGTTGGAGGTGCGATTTTTTAGGCGGTATAGAATTATATCTTTCTGGTTATTTTTTGCTTTTTTCGTCGTTCGTTTACGAAATGACGGAAGGGCGATGGTGGTGATGGTGGCTTCGTTGGCCGTGTTTTCCGTGGCCGGCACTTTCATGACGGCGTATAAGGCAGCCATTGCTGCGACGTGTGTTGTAAAGAGGGCACTGGTCGTTTTATGTAGCAACAATATTTTGTTAAAAAATTGCAGTTTTTTTTTTTTTCGTCGTCCTTCGTGTAGGAATTTACGATATGGCAGCCATAGCTGCCACGTGGCTTTTTATGTAGGAATTATGAACACCGTGCCTGCTAGTTTCGCAATGGCGGATAAGGCAGTCATAGCTGCCACGTGGCTTTTGAAGAGTTGTAAAGTAGGTCACAAACATATATTTGTGAACTGAAATGGGGACACATATAATTCGTTCTTGCAATATTTTTTCACACTTTTATTTATGTTATTTCAAATATTTAGGTTAGAAAATATTAATATTTCCTGCTACACGCCGAATTCCTTACCAAATTTCAAATAAAAATAAAATACGAAAAATAAATACTAATAATAAAAATAAATAAAAATAAAAAGAGAATTAAATTTAGTGAGTGCGCGAGCATGTTTTCGACACCGCCATCTTTGGCGATTTTTCATTTTTTGTTGGCATAGCTAAATGCCCTGAAAATTTCCTGATGTGTACTTCACATAATACAAAACCCACTAAAAAGTTTAAAAAAATAATAAAATTGTTTAGACTCCGGACTAAAGTGAAAACAAAAAGTAAAAAGTGAAAAAATACGTGGGCGAGCACGTTTGGACACTGCCATCTTTGGTGATTTTTAATTCTTATTTGGCTTAGCCAAATGACTTGTATCTCACGTCATAGAAAACTCACATAAAAACATTCCGAAAAAAATAATTATTTTTAGGCCCCAAAATATTTTTTGGCGGGGGCCCAACGCCGTCCGGTTTGGACCCCGTACTGGACCCCGAACGCCCGTACGTACGGAGGTCTGCCCGGGGAGCTCCGTATGTACGGGCTGATGACCCTGTATATATATATATATATATCGTCAAATAGAACTGCCCGGTAAATCGTAGGCAGAGAGGGAGAAGAGGACAACAAACGAGGGGCTGTGACAAACTGTTTCGTCGGAGTTTCACCGACTCATCAGGAGGCTGAACCCTCAACAGTC